AAGCATGTGAAAAAAGTAGCGGCTTATATATAATTACGGTAAGCAGTTTTTTTGTGTTTAGTGCTAATTAGCAAACGTTGCTATGATGGTAAACATTACCAGCTAAAAATCTGCATATTCGCCTCGTCATTGTGAGTATGTTAGCATGCTGATGTCAGCATTAAGCTTAAAACGCCACAGCACCGGTCTCACAGAGCCGCTAGCATGGCTGTCGTGAGCACGCCACAAGTAACATACATAGCAGATACAGTGAGCATTCATACTGTATCTGTATCTGCTGAATGCAGAAAGAAAACAACATGCAAAAAAATGTACACTCTAAATTTCTTTATGATAACTTCCGCAAGACGGTAAAAGAAGCAGCTTTGGAAAACTGCAGTTCATCACTCTATCAGCACTTTTATATCTGATCATAAATTTCTTATATTTATTATGCAACAAGCAACGTCCATATGTCCAAATCTGTGGGATTTTACATAAAAAGGCATGACACTGATGAATTAATTAATGTCATCCTTCCAGTACTCCACCACAGGCTCTACATAGTGTACATTATAGTTTAATGAAGAAATTGCAGGCTGTTTGAAAGGATCAGGAACCTAAAGTAAAGTTTGTGCCGTACGATACACGATGGCAGCTCGAAACCCTTCTCTGTGTGTCCTGTACAGTATATTTATGCAGTCAGGGGTCCTGTGGGAAGAGCCAAAATTAGCAATGGATAGTGAAAGGTCATAGAGCAGTGGGAATAGAGATCCTGTTGACGCAATCTGTCCAGTCATATTTATTTCTTTCGGCCAGAGATGAGTGCCTACGTCTAGACTTTAGAAACAACCCAAAACAACACAATCCCATAAAATACACACGTTTATATTCGGCTGGCTTTTAAAAAATTGGCGGGAAGCCAGTTCCTTGAGAACACTGAAGTACTTCTTTTTAAGAATAACATCCACCACTTCGGAGTACAGTCCTAAAAATTCAATGTTAGTGAACGTATCTTAACCAGACAGAGACAAAAAGCTCTCTCACACAACCAACTTTGCCCGAGTGTGTTTTACAGCTGTTTAAACAGCCATGTCTGCTGCTGTATACACAGTCAAAGCAGGCAGTCGGAGCCTCTGGAGGAGTTGTTTTTCACAGGCCTGTGTGGTATGCATGTGCGTCCCAGCCCACTCAGACCCACCTCATGGCTGGCTGGTTGGCATTCCTGCCTCACTCTGTAATTATGGCTCTTCTCCAGGCCTCTCGGCTCTGCTCTCCCTGCACCGCCATACTCTTTCAAGGGCGGGACTTGCCTCTGCCGAAGGCGAACACTTTTCACCTGGCCACTTAGCTCAGGCTCTAATTTTAACAATAACACATCACAGGGCGAAAATGTGCACTGACAACAGCAGCAGTCAACAGTTGCGGTGGGGGGGAAAAAGCAGCTTTACAGTACCTTCAATTATATTTGGTGTCATGTATCACGAATCAGGATTAAGCACGGTGACTCTCACCTTGCGCTGAACTTACAATTACCGGATATCACATCATTTAAGTAAATTAAATGCGTTACAGTGAAGTTACTGCTTTGCTTTAAACCCCGTCTCTCGCTGGGCGTGTGAAGTTGAAAATGTAAAGCTGTGAAAGAGTTTACATGCCAGACGACACGTAGATACACACTTTCAATCTCGCAGTGCTTAAATGAGAGCACAGTGGTAGCGGAGGGAAGTTTTACTGTACGTGTTCATACAGCACATCTGTCTGCAGCTGTTGTGAAAGACAAGTGTCAAGTTACTGGTTTCAGTTTCGAAAGGTGTTTTCCCCTCTAATTTTAAAACAGCTTCTTCAAACCACTCCTAAATCCCCCCTCAAATCTTCTGTACCCGCCTACAGACACAAAATAACACTGAGATGATGGATTGATCCTGTTTTTGTTTTGTTTTTGCAAATCCCACAATAAAGCTAAATTTATCTTACTTTAGATTAGATAATCTGGAGATGTCTCGGGAGCTATTCCCAGGTGTATTTACAGTAAATTACAAATGAAATATAAGACTGAGAGCAAAAGTCTACAGAACTTGTGCAAAACCTACAGGAAATAAGCAAATATTTGGAATTCAGCGCACTGGCAATACGTGTTTCAAAACAAAACTTTCTGTTACAGCTGCAACAATGTGAACTTGTTGACGTAAACTGATGAATAATCCAAATACATTATCAGTAAGTGAAAGGAAATCTCACAGAATTCCAGACAATCTCCTCCATTCATGCAGCTGGGGGCACATGACATGCCTGCAGCAGAAGGATTAGGACGATCAGCTGAGCGCAACTCAATACCGCATTGTTCCTCGCTGCTCACCGCTTGTTTTTCCTCCAACTCTCCTTGCAGCTTATCAGAGGAGGACAGAACCAAATCTCCCTGCCTCCGTACGCCTGCCAACTGCTAACAAACCACTACGGTGGTGCCAAAAAATGTCACAACCTTTTGTGGTACTTTTTCAGGGTGTGTATTGTTTCAAACAAAGCTCAGGGTGCTTTTTTGTGTAAAAAAAAAACAAACAAACAAAAAAAAACCCCACTCATGTTCAGGACAAATAAACACAACAAACGGCAATTAAAAAAAACAGCTTTGGGCTTGAGATTAAAGAGCACACTGCTGCCTTTGTTTCGCAGGTCACATCTGTATTTGAGTGACAAAAGGCAGCCACACAGCAGCAATGCATCAGAAAAGGGCGAGTGCCAGCCTGAACTCATCCTCCATCCAGCCTCTCATTGTCTCTGCTCCACACTGATAACAAACAGCACACACTATGCGGACGCATCTCATCTACTCCATCAAAGCCTGATGTGGCAGTCTGAACAACAAACAGGCAGGTCCCCGTCATAACAACGAAACATACTATTAAATGGATCTGTGGCTGTAGTCTGCGGGTAACTTCTCTGCTCTCGTGGCCAACAAACTTAAAACAAAAAAGGTTTACCATGCTGGAACAATAAATAGTTTGGAATTTTGAGAAAATTGCTTATTCGTTTTCTTGTCAAATGTTAGATGAGAAGATTGATACCCTCTAATTTCTGTATGATAAACATGTAACAGGAGCCAGCAGCTGGTTAGTTAAGCATAAAGACTGCTCCAGGCTAAGAAAAAGGTTCAGCATGTAACACCCTGTAAAATGGCATTTATTGGACAGATTAAGCACGCAAGATAAAATGTGATATTAGGGAGCTATAGAGGTGCTGGTAACCAAGTTAGCTGTTTTTCCTTCAAGAAAAAGCAATTTTTCGAAAAAGGAAAACTCTGACTGGGTGGTCCTCTCTGTAAAATATCTGCCATGGAATCATAGAAAAAGCTACATAAGTGAAAATCTCTGCATGGCTTTAATGAGCCAAATGCTAAAGCTACGTTCTGTTTATCAAAATATACATATCACAGCAAATACATATCCCTAAACAGCTATTGTGAAGAAGAACCTTGCACAGAAAGCACTTTGAATGCACCTTTAAACCTTGAAGAGCCACATCAGCAGCATCTTGCCTTTGAGAGAGGATTGAGCGAAGCAGAGACATTTAACCCGTATCCGGCCTCTTCGCCACAAAAACCGGTGTAATGGAGATTAAAAAGCTCCAAGATCTGCTCACCTGGCACTCACATGAACAGGCCTGTGCTTGGGACAAAAGGAGCAGCAGAAGAGCACACATATATACTGTGTTGACTCAAACTATGCAAACATTGCACCTGAAGGCTATGAACAAACACAGTCAGGCTGGCTTTCAGCTATACCGGTTTTAGTTGCCTTGGGAAATCAGTGTGCTGCAGTAAATAGATTTTTAATTTCCAGTGTGATAATCATCAGTTTCCTTGAACAGTAATTTCATTAAACCCTTTTTCAGAGTGGGTACAATCTGGATTTTTAACATTTTGTTCATACAGTTTCATGAATGACTCACCTATATACAGTGAAGAGTCTTTCTTCTTCACGTGATCATCAATATAGGACACCCCCAGGGGCTGCACCGGTGTGGCTCCGATCCCCAGCAGGACCTGGGCTCCAATCAGCAGCAGATACATCATGTTGGTGTTCGCCTTGTTGGCGCACACTCTGTTCTCAGCTTCCTGGGCTTCCCTGCTGCTGGTGTTGGTGCAAACATCCCGACCCATGTCAGTCCTCCCCGTTTCCCCTATCTCATACTGATTAGTTAGAAACTCAGGCAGAGCTGAGAGAAGGGCGCCAAGCGCCATGACAATTCCCCCACAGCCGATCAGACGGGGTCGATGTGCTTTGGCCCCAAAGTAGCTGACAAACAGGATCAGAGCCAGGTTGCCTATCTCAAAGCTGCTGGCTATCACTCCTACATCAGCACTTTGCAGGTTGAACCGCCGCTCCAGGGTGGTCAGCACACTCACCTGAAAACAAAAGCGACACAAAATCAAACCAGGGTCTACTGAATGAGGCAAAAATAAAGTGAAAATCATTATTTATCAATGTACAGCATCATATCGTGTTAACTCTATGACCCTATTTACACCTGAAAATGAAAATACATTCTGTATCTGGATGTATAAATGCAGGCAGGACACATTGTGATCGGAACATGGTCAGATCAGACAGTTCACATGTAAAGGTGGGCCTGGCTGGCATTGTGATCACATCTCAGCCAGGTGTGAATGTATAGTGTGACCACAAACAGTCGAGCACCTTAAAAGGTCAACTAACTCTGGCTCCTGTTCCTAACCCTTAAGCAAGCCCAGACAAAGCAACTAACAGCAGCAGTTAGCAACTCTTTCCTTTGCAAAAAGCATTTTTAAAATGAATGACTTCTATTTATGGCTTCATCAGAGGTCATTATCCAGATACATATCACACATTACCACCAGATGTAAATGGGGCCTACATTTGATTCTTCTGGACATGCTCTTTCAGAAATTGTGCACCTTGTCATCATCACTTGCGCCATTTTAAACTGTGTCTTTCCATTGGAATACCCTGAATAACAAGCTGCTCAGATGTTCCACACCGTGGCTCCTCCCTGGAAACAGGCCTCTGTTTCTGATTAGCCGGGCAGGCACTGCAACATTTACTTCCATGGCTTCAGTGAGAACCGCTCATCACAAGCTTCCCTCTTTCACCAGCTGTCATGCACACAAGAGCTGGAGCCTACCAGTAACTTCCAGCTAAAGCAAACACAGCAATACATTTGTTCAGCCCAGTTCATGGTTTGTCTTTGTTTACTTTAGTTGTCAGTGGTCAGAGATGAAATATTTTGACTAATGTCGACAATGTGTAATTTTGTTAGAAACTTAGTTCATCATCATGTTTCAAAGTAAAGACTTTATAATGAATCTGTTGTAAGGCAGCGCAAGTGTGTGTTTGCTTGTGATACATGGGAACAGTCTCTCTGTGCCATGTGAACCACAGTCTCACATTTAAAGTTATCAAAGCTATTTTCAGATCTGTCCCAAACTGTCCTTGAAAGGGCATCACAATTTTCCATTTCCCAATTGGCTGTGCTGAGAGAGATTTAGCTCTGAAAAAAAAAAAGCATCCTGCCAGCACAAACATCCCCTTCTGAAAAGAGTGACTTCTTTGCAAGATGAAAAGATGAATCAACTTTTAGTTGGAACATTTTTCCACCCAATCCTCAATTATAGAAATGTAATGTACACAGTTCATTATGATTGGATCTGAATGTGTTTAAACAAGGTTCTTTATGTGGAAGTGACTTATCAAAAAAAAAAACTTCAACAGCTGTATTCTGGTAACCCTGTATAATTGCTATCATTGTTGTATGGTCATAGAGCTTTCTTTTATTATCTAGTGTGACAGTCAAATTGCTAGGTAAATTGACATTTAGCTAGCTCTGGGTAATGTTAGAAATCCACTCCTTTTTGCTGCTCTGAACAGTAGTTGCCTGTGCTCAGTGGCAGCACATCCACCATACTCTGCCTCTGATTGGCTAGTACTAGTTGCCTTTGTTGGTTTGTCTCTTAAACAGCCATATACAGTACACTGCAATCTCCATACCAGATCTGGTGCTGAATCAGTACTGAACAGGGAAGTGACATTTTAGGGTTTTATGTTTTTGCTAATTGGCTTTATTCTATGATACTACAGTCTGTCCTGAAGCAGAAAAGAAACCATGTACCCCTCAGCCCCTCGGTTATTACACCGGTTATTAAAATATGATCTGTTTCTAAAAATACAATCCAAACATTTATTCACCTGAACCTTTGCCTTTGTCACCCTTTTCCATACTCTATTATGTCCTCTGTGCTTTCCCTTTGAGAGCAAATTTAATGCACAACAGGCGAGTAGATGAGGAGACATCATTGTCAACTAAAAACAAACATTGTACAGCCTGTTTTCTTTGTCTTTAGAGTTGAAAATAAGTTGTCCTCTGTGACTTTTAGAAAGCAGAAGTGACAGCAGGTCCTTCTCGCAGCTGCTCTGAACACAGCCGCAGTGACTCCATCACTACAGATCAAAGCATGGGGAGGATGATTGTTGGGAGCGGTTTGTGCCGGAGTGCTTTTGGTGAAGTTGAGTGGATAGAAAACTTCAGAATGAGTCATGACGTCTCTGCCCCTTGGGCGGCTCTTTCTCACAAATACTGAGCACACTGGACGGGCTGCATTTACGCCTGGCTGGCTCCACCCGGCTGGGGTTTGATCGCGTTGTCTCGTTTGGTTCTTAGAAACGATGCCAAGCCCAAACAACCTGCTGACACTGTAGCTTTAGCTCCACACAGACAGCAACACTGCAACAAAGTGTAGCAGAGAAGCCATCATCCAATTCAATCACATGCCATCCTGTTATTATGGGAGGCCTGGGCGTGGCAGTGCGACTGACGGGTTCTGCTCGCAGCTCAGCAGTGGAAAGACTCTGCGACGGTAAAGCCAGTTTTAACATGTTTGTCCAATTCTACTCGAACTTAAAACAGGCGGCCTTCCAGGAGGATTAAACCCAAAATAAATTATATAGGAAAAATCAAGCGCACACTGGCCAGTAGTCACAGCCACATTTTCTCAAACTGTGGAAATGTTTAATCTGTTGCATGGCAACATAACAAACCACGTCATGCTGTGTGACGTCCCATCACCTAGGACAGAGTCTTGTCTGAGCACAAGGAATCCCAACTTCCACCGAGTTTGTACTGACAGGGTCTGTATCAAAGAAAAGTAGCTCAATGCTGACATTCACTTCAGCACATTAAGGTTTAGCACTGACGTGAACGTGCTGAAATGGTGCTATTTGTGAAGGCAAACAGTTGGTAATAACTGAAGCCTCGGCTTATTTAGAAACATTTCCACTCGGTTTTATGGGGTGCAACCTACTCAAGGTTGACTAAAGGTGAGCTAAATTTACTTTATCTGCTCTGAATGAGTTATTTTATTGGCGTCTAAAAGCAGCTACATCTATAGTATTAGCCGAGTGCATATGGTGTACTTTTTAACTTTCTTTATCCTTATTTTTTGAGCACATACAATAAGTATGGTAGCGTTAGATTTTTAATAAACTGCCAATTTATTGCTCCTTAACACCTAAATTCTAGCTGTATGAATTTAAAAAGCTCGTCACTTTCAACTTTGACCACTTTGTCAAGGGCACCTGACGTCAGCTACTCTGTTAATGGCTACTCCTGTATGTTGCCCAAGGCTGACACAACAATAATAAATGACTTGGGTGATGTATGTTTTGATTTATGTCTGTACATTACCCTGATATTTGACATCACAGCATCATTTTAATGAATGAATAAAGAAAATGACTAAAAAATGAATATCTGAACAAATACACGCGCTTTATTGGAACATAGCTATTAATACTTCTCTTGCCTTCCGACACTCAGCTGATCCGCGACTGCAGTTTGACAGGTTTGCTCAGCTGAGACGAACAGGTTCAGGTGTTAGTTGATCTCTGCAGCTCGAGCTCTTAAGTGTCAGATTTGGTTCTTATCAGGGAAGTGTTACTATAACCAACAGAACTTACACCATCAGGTGCTACATACGCAGAAGTAACAAACAGAGCTTTCTAGGGCTTAATATAGTATCACCTCCTACAATTAAAGTCTGATGCAATTACTGCAGAAAAGTGGGAGTCAGGCAACAGTAGTGACTGGATGCTTGAACGTAAACGGCCTCTTTTGGTTCGTTCTAGTCAAAAGTCTACTACACAAAATTCATCTGTCCTAGTAGATTTATTATTGGGTAAAATAAGACAGCTTGAACTTGATCTAATAAACTTATTGATCACATGATGGTCCTGGGGTGTAAGGGTTCATGCAGATGTAATGATGTTAATTTCCTCATGTTTGATCATGCTTAATCAACATACGATGAATCACCCTTGGCCTGACTTTATAAACTAACTATATCAATTCCCACTTGGATGTCCTCAAAACATCCTGACTTATGGGGGCCCTTTATCTTCAGAACAAAGGTGTATAAGATGCTAACTTAGGGGAAAGACTAAGCCAGGGTATAAAGAGAGAGAGCAACTTCCCATCGGTGTGCTTATTACAAATTAACCTTTGTCTTAAAAGTGTGACAATACTGTAAGAGAGTTTTGTCTCCTTTCTTTGTTGTCAGAACCTCTACTCTTTCTGAAATGGAGCTACTACTGGTACTTCAGGCTACTAACGCTCTAACCAATTATTAATTTCATTATTGATTCATGATTTTGTCATGTCAAAAATCAGTGAGAAAGAACATTTGCCCTTTTGGATTGAAAAATGAATGAGCTGAATAATCAATTAACAAAACTATTTGCATGAATTTTCTGTCAACTAAATTTTCAGCTCTACATAGGACTATTTAACAATGTAACTTTATAGTCATTTTAATTAATGCATTGGTTGTAAACAAGGGATTAAATGGATCTCTTGTGATCATTAGTGTAACTGTTAAAAACAAGCTGCAACTATTTTGATAACTGATAAATCATTTCAGTCATCAATCAAGTAAAAATAGAGAAATAGATTACTACAATTTATCAAGTTCCAGCTTCTCAAATGAGAATATTTGCTGCTTCACTTTGAAACAGTAAACTCTCATAGAAAACGGCATACTGCACGGCCTGTGCAGGTTGACTGTCTGTTTACTTGCAGTCAGGCTGCTAAATCAGGACACCCAGCATGTTGCTAAGTGTCTTGTACTCTAAGCAGCTCACAGAAAGCAAAGGGGTACCATGATAGTTGAGTTTTGGCCCTTCACTGCCAGCAAACACTCTTAAGTCCCATCATCCAATCAGACAGAGATAGAGTAGCTCATGTAGGTCAACGCCAGTTCACCAGATTTTCAGATCAGATTTGAACCAGGTACCTAATGTCCTGCCCATGCGAATTATGCTTCATGTAAATTAGCTTTGTTGTGTTGCTGACCAGGACAGCCTTGTGTTTTTGTGTACG